ATTTTTGAGTTATTTATTTCGAAAACTATCTTTTTTGTTATAATATTCTAATATTTTAAGAAGTATAATATTGTTTTAGAAGATTTTTAACTAATGTTTTTATTTTTCGATCTATATATTTCAGATTTATAATACTCGAATTTCTAATTACTTAACGACCAATGTATTACTATTTATTGTATTTTACTATGAAGCTATTTATCAACAAATTAAATAAGTTTATATATAACTACATGTAATACTATTTAATATACTATATTATAGTATGATTATATATTTCAAATTTTCCATAAAAATATTTTCCTATGCTCAACACATAATAATCAATTTTAATTTAAGTATATTATAATAATGTAGTTTAATAAAGTTTGGTTATTTATGATTTTTCTTATGCTAAAAATTTCAACTTAAAAGTAAGAAATCAGTCTAACTTAATGTGTTTTGGTAAAAAAATAAATTATAAGTCGAAATCAAAATTATGAATTCGAGAGAGGGAACTTCAGCTGGCTCTTCACGTCCATCAAATGTAATATATTTACTTTATTTAATAGCTAAATTTAAATCATGTCATTATCATTATTTTTCTGCCATCTATATTATCATTATTTTGATAATGAAATTTTTTTATTGTGCAGTATAGTCAAGATCAAGATTTTCTTGCACAACAACATTAGATATATAATACTATAAATTTTACAAACAATACAAGAATCTTGATAATAAATCTAAAAAAATAAAAACTTACTAAAAATTATACACAAGATTGATGTTCAAGATCTCATGTTGTTGAAGGATAAACAGGGAAAGGGGAGAGTTAGATTAATTTATAATTTATAGAATGTAGGTACTTAATAATGAGTTTGGTGGTAGGTGGGAGATTTACAAATTATAAAAATAGGTTTGGTAGGATATATTAAATAATTTGGTGGTAGGTAGGGATTTTTATTAATAATATTTTTTAATAATAATTAATTAATGTGGTGGTAGGTAGGAACTTTTTATTAATAATATTTTTTTAGTAAGTGTATAAAATTTTAAAAATATTAAGTTATATATTATAAATTTACTTTATATAGAAAAAATATATTAATATAAATATATTACTGAAATTTTTCAATCTTTTATAGAAAAAATATGTTACTTATTTTAACATTAACAAGCTTATTACAATTTTTTAAGATTTGTACTGGAATTTAACGTATTTTTTAAAAATTTACATAAATTTTTGAAGTTTATAAATAAAATATATATCAACCAAAATTTTGAGAACAATAATCTTACTACTATTTTGTGTATAAGTGTTAATTTTACAGATTTCTATAACATGTTGCGTTGTAGTGAATTTTACGCATAGTAAGTGATAGGTATGAAAATTTATTATGATAAAAGATTGTAAGTACGCTGATATGTGTGACTTCCTAAGAAAATGTAACTTTTAATCTTTTCAAATATTACTAATTAACTATATATATATATGTATATGTATATATATATATATATATATATATATGTAGGCTGTCTAAAAATCACAATAGATAGTTGAT